AGATGGGTATAAGAGACAGCCAGTCTTTAACCAATTTCCAATTCTGTCTCTTTTTTTCTTTCAGTGTATAAACTAATTATTCTGGGTATTTCTTTCAATCGTCATTAAATCTGTTTCCCATATTTTTTTTTACCATTTCTGTTTTCATTTGCTCCATGTTTTTTAAGCGTGTCCTTTCTTTCTTGTAAGGATTACTGATAGGTCCTACAAAATGATCCTAACGTAGGCCAAAAAAGCAGGCTAGTGAGATGTTAAAACTCAAAGAAAGAATTTGTTAGATCTTGATTTTGCTCATTGGAACCCTTTAAACTTGGCTTCTATTTGATTATTTATTTTATACCTCATTGGTTTATCCTATATTATGTTATGGCGGCCATATTTGATTTCAGTATGGCCGTCATACTAACAATAACTTCACTTACAGAATACACCTATGCCAAAGTATTTTATATTATGGTCAAAAATCCAATATTACTATTTGTATCAAGCAATAGTCTTATTAGATCAGAAGATGGCCGACATAAACAATGCATCGGCGTTTACGTTATACATACGGTAATTGATTTTAACATTTAATTATATGTATGCCTAATTTAATTATATGTATGCCTAATACGTGTATAGTCTAGCTATTCTAAATAATTATATTTAATAAAGTAGAATGATAGACTTGCATTTTACAGCTTTATTGTTATTTAACCTATTCCTAATTATGCACAAATATGTTTTTAGCTAGAGGTCAATTGGTAGTTAATATGCTTGACTTCCAATCTTATGGTAGTTCAATTCCTGTCACTGTTACGTATTTTTCTCACCACCAAAATATCCCCACCCCATAAACCTTAAAATTAAAGTTAACCTATGAATGTAAGCGTTTGATAGTCTTAACTTATCAAATAACATGAACTTGTATACATACTACAACATTTATAAATCAATGGTGTGTGTATATAATGACTTTTCAGGATAATTATTCCATCTTCAAATTGCTGTTATTAGTTTATGATATTAATGATAACTTTGGATTTTCTGCCCATTACATAATACGGTTTGTTACCAAAATCAGGCTATTGTGCTCTAGATGAGCAGTTAGTGTCATTTTTCTACTTGGTATTCCAAACTGACCGCCATTTTGAAACCCAGTATGGCCACCCGTAGCATGTTGGATGCTCCCAAGTGGAAAGTATTCCAATGTGCTTACAAAATTTAAATCCACCATAATCTTGATTTCAGCTTTAAAATCTCGCAAAATTATAGGCCTATTAGGATCTATAAAGAATTAGTAGGAGTTTTGAGATGTATTTTTCGTGTTATCGTTGTCATTTGATTTAATATTTTTATGTTGTTTTTTTTTTTATTGTACTACGATCTACTAAATCAATGTGCTTTACTGAAAATTTCATCAAAATAAATATAAAAAAAATATTAAAATGAAGTGAGATTTTTAAAATGTGTTTATGTCATCAGAAACGGGAAGTGTGTTCCAGAAAAAATATTAGCTCATGGCCGACTTGTTGATCCAAGTAAACGTGAAGGCAAATTTCGCATACACATCGAAGATGTTGGCGTAGACGAAATTAAAGCCACGTCAAGTAAATAATGTTCATTGACGTACTATTGTAACCATATCAACCAATTAAATAAAATTACCCTTTTGTTGGTTTCAAAATGTCCTTTCATTATTATAAAATCGTTACATTGGTAATCAATGATGGTTTTTAGTAAATCTAAAGCATATAACGTCTGTAAATCAGTGAAAAGGAGACATTTTGTTGACCTGTGTATCATTTGATTACTTAGCTGATTCTCTTAATTTCTATTTTATTTCAAAACCTCCGAAACGGAGAAATAAAAGTACATAAAACATTCACTTAATTAACAACACATCAAAATACATTATAAAACACATCAAAATACATATGAAAATCAAATTAGAGCTACCAAAGTTCGATCAAATAGAACATTTCACTCGTGAAATATGATCAATGATTTTGATTTTTAAGTGTTTTTTTTTCAAATATCCCTACAGACCATATTAAAAGTCCTTGAATAAACTGAGAGTGATGAAACCCACATACAGTATATCTTACATAAAACCAAATCACATATTCCTCTCAGAATTTGACTAAATACACCAAGAGAGACAATTGTGACTTTTTATTTTAGATGATTATTGGGTGATACATACCGATTACACATCTCACGCTGTGGTGTACAGTTGTCAGCTTTATCTATCCGACGGCACATGTTCATACAACCATACATCCGTATGGCTAATGTCTCGCTCACCAGCATTGGAACCCGCTACTCGTGCAAGAATTGTTAGGCTGTTGGCAGATATATGCGTACCAGAAGAAAGGATAAGACAAACGTCAAGAAGTAATTTTTTATTCTTAATATTTTTTGCTTGTTAATTTTGTATTAATGTTGTCAGATCAGATCGAATTCAGTTGTGGATCCAGGAATCATTGGAATTTCCCCAGGACGGACTTCCATAGATAGTGTCCACCCACCTTTAACCCCACAGTAGTTGGGGCTGAGATAGGAAAAAAGTTAATTATGGCAAAATGGCACTCTTTTCACACTTTTTTCTTCTTTTTTTCTCGATTTTTTAAATTTAATATTTTTTGAAAATTTAGGTGGGCCGGCCGCGTATTTTTTTTCTGCAGTACACATAAGCAAATATATGTTTCTTTTAGCCAATCAGAATGTAGGAAGCCTAAAATGACGTCAGATAACTATTGAATAATTAATCAGACGTCAGACACAACTCTGCTGATTACGATTCGCGAGTCGAGAAAAAAAATGGATTCTTGCGTGAGAGAAGATGAAGACGATGGTCAGTCAACAGAATTGACAAGATGCACTGTCTACAACGAAGATGCAGAGCCATTGACATGCGAAGCGTACCTCAAGTTTATGGTAAGTAACCTACACAAACGAGTAGCAAAAACTTCATAGTATATATCGTCATCATAACCATCATCATCATCATCACATTTATTTAATACCCAGAGGCATTTTCCAAAACTACTACTACTACTACTACTACTACAAGCCTATGCTAGGCCCTAGACCTAGGCCTATGCCTTTTGTAGCCTAGGAAAGCAATGAGTGGTCAGAGTCCGCCTAGAACTATCTTCGGATCTATAGGCCTAGAATAGTCCCTAGTTCTATTATTCTTGGCCTAATTTAATACTAATAGGCAGGTTGTTGCTGCTGTCTCTTATACACATCTAGATGTGTATAAGAGACAGGTATATAACCATTGCCAATGTATCATGCAGAAGTTAAG